ATTGTCATGCAGGACAACAGTTAGCCTCTGACAATAACGTGAGATTAATAAGTGGATGTTTGTGGAATGATGATAAATATGTCTTAAAGTGGTCCACAGACTAGAAGAAGAAACCCCCAAAGGAGTGGCTAGATCTACCCACAGTCCTCCTTGTTGTGCATGCAGTCCCATCACTTGGCATCATCCTACACTGCACTGTTATGCAGGCACATGCTAAAGGCATCTCCAAGATAATTAATCATTCTGAATATCATTGTGCATTATTTATAATATATAGAGAGGTTACATAATAGATTTTCAAATGAAAAGTGTTCTTTATGTAATTAAGTTTCCATAGACCTGAGATATAAATCACAAAAACAATTTAAGTTTAAAGAACCCACATTGGCAAGGTAAACATTTAATTAGTGAACATCCAATTAATAGTCATCCAATTATTAATAGACAAAAGACATCTTCACTGCTTAATCACAAAAAGACAAATTTCCTGCTCTAGCAGACAACAAAACAATATAGTAGTTTTACATGCAGCTCACTGCTCCCTCAAACACCACAATCACTGCCAGACCCACATACAAAAAGGAACGGTTGCTCTCTGGAATAGCAAATCCTGACCTACTCAAAGTGGCAGAAAACACAATAAATTGCAAGTGCTACCATAGCACCACCAAACATTTGCAAAAGACAGTTTTGCCGTGATAGATTACACCGGTTAGCAATGATGACTGGCAGATTTACCACCCAAAATTTGTAGTAATTTCAAATACACTGGCTCTTAGATTTCACACAGAAGTAAACAAAAGCAGGTTTCTCATTTTGTATTGGCTGAAATGAAAACTGTCACTTGCAGGATCCATCAGCTATAGCTTAGCGTATAAGTTAACCCCAGCGCTGGTTGAAAACTCCTCCCCAAACTTACTTTTTTTGGTGTTTCCAGCTGATTTGCTCTACAACGAGGAATATGTAAAGGGGTCTTAAATATGCACATTATGTTTTGAGCAGGCAACATACACATTGGTAAGACTGAGGCTATAGCTATATGTCCTGGGACAAAAAGTTATTATCCACACCAGCTGATAGGGAGCAGCATTGTCAGTATTGAAGGGGAGAGTTAGTTAGTGCTAGTAAACAATAAGAGGTTTTTACCAAGCGCTGTCATGCTGTTGAGCAAAAATCCTGTTAGTGAAAAGCATAATTGATTATTATCCCAGTGGTAGGCCAGGTGCATATGGAGTCAATAATTTTGTGCATTTTATGTGCAACATAATAAGTATAATTAACTGCTATTTGATTGGCTGTAATCACTGGCTCTCAGTATTAATCAGCTCACAGTCACAGCAGACAGTGTTTTTTTTCAGAAACCCCCTTACATTCCCTGACAAACTTTCCTTTCCACACACCACCATCCCGGGGCGTCAGTGTAATGGACAAAGAAAAAGAGAGAGAGAGGATGGTGACCTCCTCGAGGGGGCATCCTGACATCATCCACAGTGGCGGTGGAGACATGGTGCTGTCACAACACACAGCGAGGGGGGGCTGGCTCGGTGTCACCAGCTCTGACACGCTGGGGAATGACCCGAGCTGGAGCAATGACTGTGACAGTAATGGGACAGGTCTCTGGGAAAAGGGATGGGTGGTGGTGGTGGTGGAAGGAGGTGGGGGTGAGTTGTTGGATGGTGGTTTGTTGAGGATGATCAGAGAGACAAGGCATAAGACCAGACAGGATGACTGTGTCAGAATGGATGGTCATTGTTTGGATACTTGAAGTAAAACAGTTCAGACCTGAGAAGTGAAAAGCAAAGTGTGGCTTTTATTTTTACATCAGTATATCATGCATAAAAAACCTCTGGAGAGCTCCATATTTAGCATACATCCTTTTTTGACCTTTGCCTTCTCCTCCATCTTTGTAGTTTGTTGTGAGAGATAGAAGTTTGCAATCTTCTTGCTGAGGGTCTTATATTTCCATATTTCTACTGAACAACATTTCTGGTATAAAACTACATTTCTAATGGAGCTTTGCCATTTTAATTTAATAGCTTCAACATTTCAAGAACATGCATGTGCATGTAATCAGTCTGAGCCTATTTACTCTTTTGGAAAAAGTCTTGTTGCCTCTGTCAGGCACATTACAGGGGTTACAATTCAATATATTGTGATATATTGTGTTTTCTTTATCTAAGTTTAGGAAGTGTAAAAGGCATAAAATTAGAGTAAAAAATTTACTTTCACTCTTGAGCTCTGTACCAGTCTAATTCTTTCAGATTCAGCCACCAGTGGTCCTATTATTAGTCAGCTAGGTTTGCTAATGTGTTCTTTATGTTTACAGTACATAAGCAACATGTGCTTTCTTCTTCCTGTCTCAGTTATTTCAGTTAGTTGTTATGTTGGAGTGGAACAGTCAAATGGTTGAAAATAGATTATATGGGGATTTAAACACAACACAGCTGAACCACTGCCAGGAATCTCTCACGTAAACTATTAATTTAAAATCAATACAGTGTTTTTGAGAATCAATATCACAAAACATATATTTTCTTATACAGCTAACATGCATCTTGCAGCTGGATTGCCAACAGACATTGTGCATGCAGGCTACCCAGACTGAAGTGGGGGGAAAGAGGTGTTGATCCAGTGATTTGCTCATTTGGGTCAGTTCTCTCTTTTCTACAACATCTGCACTTTCACAAGAGAGAAAGGTTGCTGTTTGGCCATGCAATGTTTTCTGCTAGGGTTTAGGATGAAAACTTCAAGTTATATATATTCGTATTCCCCTCAGTCAGAGTTGGTTTTCATTCTTCAGGCCCTAAAAACCTACAAGGCAAGCCTCTCTTAAATTGTTGTCTTCCCTCCAGACGCACAAGAGTGAGAGACTTGTGTAGCTTTTAGTCTATTCCTGACATCTTTCCCCTTACAGGCAGAATATGCACTTCGCCTCCAAAACTTTTCATTTTTGAATTCATTTAGCAAAAGTGATCTCTGCACAATCTGTGTTCAGACAGGTGCATTGGAGAAGAATTAATGAATTCAATTCAATAAATGTAAAGTGTTGACAGTCTGTGGGAGATTTTGATACTTGAGAGTTCATCGAGGTCATGAATGAATCAGCCAGATGTCCTCTCGCTTCCTCCACATAACAAGTATAGCAAGAATAGGTTGCATTGCTTGTGTCTCGGTCGTGAGTTAAATGGGCTCCCTCTGACTGGCTGAGCATGTGCATGTGTACTGAGTGTGCTGAAGTGGGTGGCTAAGTGAAGAGAGCCCTGATGAAGAACTGCAAGTGATCATAGAGCTAGAGCTATGATACCCATAATTTCTTCAGTTTCACCAAAAGGCTGCTGGTGTTTTAAATATGAAATCTGTTGGTCAGTAAAAATAAATCATCTGGAACAGCTTGTTTTTAGACATTAATATCCCTATTGACAACCAACTCTGTAGCTTTGCTTGGATGCTGCCTCTTTCTTTAACACAGATGATGTGCCTGCTTAGTTTTAATAGGAGAGATGGCATCCTCTGTTTCTCTGTCTATTTAACATTTCTCCTCTCTCTCCCCCCCACCCCTCTGCCTGACAGAAAAAAACTGTAATAAAACAATGGAGCATCAGCATTCTCTAGAGGCCAATGGAGGGCATAACATATTCTTTGTAGAAAGACATTCATCTTTCTGTCTGTCTGATCTTTCTTCTGTCTGCTTCCTCTCAAAGAAAGATAGTATAATATTTATTACAGAATCCAGCCTTGTGCAGACTGTGCTGTTTTGAGCAAGGTACAATCTGACATTTTTTGAAAAGGACTGACTGGTGTGACGTGAAGGAAACCGAATTAGAATAACCTGATTTGTGGCTTATAAGGAAGTCACAGCGTTGGCTGACATTACTTTGGCACACCCTAACTGAACTTTTAGTGATTACCCTGACATCAGGTTTCCTCTCTCTCACACAGTGGCAACATTGAAAATAGCTAACAATGCTGACATTATTCTGTCAGTTTTTATCTTACATATCATGTAATTGTTCTGAAGTGCAGTACCTTTCTCAGAGCATTTGCTTCCACTCACGGTATCTGTTGCATTGATGGCATACAAAGCCAGCAAGTTGGTGTGTTAGCATCTCATTTGGAAAGTAAAAGGAAAAAAACATCAAACAGTCCCGCCCTCCTATGGAATGCATGGGATTGTTTGCCATGCAGACTCATCTATTATACTATTTTCTACAAGGATTAGCTCTCATGTGATTGTTAATTTTTATTATATTGGAGGTGTGTGTGTGTGTATGTGTGTGTTTGTGTGTGTAAGGGCTGAGCAGATGGAAATGTGATACAGGACTGATACTGAACATGAAGCCCTTGGGGATTTAGGGTGTGTTTTTGTTTATGATGTTTATTTGCTGACATCAGTAGGCCCATTACATACTTTCTTTAACTGGAATTTCTCCTGCGTTCTTTCACTTTTTATTGCGAACTGCTGGTAGATATTTGTCAGACTTTCATTTTGAATGGGCTAAGAAAGAGTGCCTTTTATTCTTTTTGCACGTGCACAATCATCACAATGCACAGTAATAGGGCAGTCAATGCATGTTGATGAAGAAGACACGAAGCGGGATCTAAAGTTTAAACGCCTGAAACGAGTGCAGAATCTCATTGGCTCACGGATTAGATTTTGCATTCTAATGTGCTGATTTGCATCAGTTTCAAATCATAAACAATACTATGCAGATGTGTCACCTGTCTGGTCAGCCACCTGCCTGTTGCCTACCCTTTTTTTCCTGAGCTAACTATCATTATCACATCATTTTACTGTCCCACATCCAACTGTCTGTTTCTCTTTCCTTTAGCTGTTATCTCTCTGTCACTTCTCTGTCTTCCCTCAAAATGCCCGAGGCAGGTCTGCTCATGCAAAACCAGTCCAGATTGGAACTGCCAGTGTGTGTGAGAGTATGTGTCTGTGTGTGATGCTCCGCCCATTTTCCTACTCCTGAACACTTCCAGTAGGTGCACACCTCACGGCCAACCCCCTCAAAATGTCCAGGTGAGACCAAGTCAGACAGCATCGAACACAAGGCCAGCTGGGACGCACTTGGCAGTCAGGAAGCACCTCTTTTACAGTGTGTGCCTAAGGTAAGGCGCCTTGTCTGTGATAAAAAGATCAAAATAGATGTAATGTAAACTAATTTTAGTTTAATTTCAGATGAATATTGGAAAGAGGACAAAATGAAAAAAGGGACAGTAAAAGGGCAAAAGTATTGTTCATTCTGTTCCTTTTCTATCATGCAGCAAGTGAAGATCTTGACATACAAGATCTCAGGAAGAGCTCAGCCCTGGCACGTACAAAAGAATGAAATTTGTAAAGACAGATAACTTGAAGCAGTGTGAATAAAGCTTTACACGGATTGCTTGTGCTTTACTCCTCAGGCTGATATATGTTCCCTTGAAAAATGCAATAAAGTCAGGTTCAAGGTAAAAAGGCGAAATATATGTGCAAATGAAAAGCAATGCTGGGAAGAAGAAAAGAAAAAAAACCCACAAGAGAACTTCAACCCCAACTTGTTAGCCAGAAGCCTGGACTCATACAGACAATGTAGTCTTGATGGATAGAAAAGTATTTGAAACCAGCTCAACCTGTAGAGCAAGTCACAGTCAAACATCTATCACTGTTTCATATGAGGTGGTTATATATGGACACAAGGAGATATAGACATAAAAGAGATCGGCACGGAGTGTAAGTGTAAAGAGTAATAACTAAGAATAATGTGGACATCCCTGCCTGTATGCTGCCTGTTTGTGGGACACTGAGAATGTTTAATGGTTGTTTGATTTCCCTCATGAGAATCAAAGCTCTTTCACACTGCGAGAGGAGCTTGCACTAGAGCTGCATTTGCATCGCACGGAGTACGGATATTGGAATCAAATGCATCAAATAACCTGCCGTTTCTCAGTTGAGAAAGCATGATACGTCTCGTCTGTCACAACAAAGAGAAAGACAAACATGCGGCAAAAGAGATAGACGAGGCCCGGCTGCTGTCGGCAGGGAAGGCAACATTGCAATTTAGAACAAATGGGAAAAAAAATAAATAAAGAAAAAAAAAATGGGAAAACAAATTGTGGTCCAGTTTCGCCATCTCCCTGAGACAAGATATACTGTTGTCTCTTAGTTTTTTTTTTTTCCTATCTGGGCTGAATGTCACCAAAGAGTTTGTGTATATGTGTGTGTGCATTTTGTATGAAACTGAGAGAGTAATCACACTGATAAATCACACACTTTATATGCTTGTGCAAAAATAAATCCTATTATCTATGCATTTTTCTAAGGGTAAGTGTGTTTGTGTCTAAACATGCTATTTGTGAATTTGTCAGGCCTCTCTGGTACTTCTTTAGAAATGATATGTCCACTCAGCAGGAGAGGTAAAGGGGAGGTAAAACCAGCAGTGATTGAGCCTGTCTGGCTGTGAGTAGCCTATGTCGTGATTCTGAGGGCATTCATTGAGTCAAGTCTTTTTATGCTGTGCAATTTAATACACAGGAATGCTGGATGAGAGAGAAAATAGCAACTGATTTGACAGCTCAATATGTCTACAGTGATGCCGAAACGCAGAAAGTGTTTCTGAATTCAAATACTCTGGATTAGACGAGACAGAATTGAAATGGAACAGTGAACAGCAAGGCTGTTATCCAACTTGTTCCCTGTCAGGCTGTGAGCGTTCACCAGAATGAGATGTAAATGTATAAGAGCATTTTTTTCTATTGTAGAAAGGAAATCCTAGCCCTTAGTGTGTAGTGTAGCAGACACTCCTTATGTTTACACTTACATAACCAAATCAAATATGTATTTCAGTGGTGTGCACCCCCCACTCAACAGTAACACAACAGAGCTCCCAACCCAAACTAAATCTGTCAGTCCCTTTCAGATTTTAATGGCAATACATCTTTTTAAACACACATTCTGTAACACGCATGCATGCAGACACTTAAGTGCTGCAGCCAACTGACTACACAGGTGATCCATAACAGCTTCATCTTTAAAGTCTGCACACGATCAGACCATTAAATCCACATGCTAATATTTCTTTCAAAAGTTCCCCTCTCTCTATCTCCCTCTCTCTCTCTCTCTCTCTCTCTCTCTCAGAGCACAGGGTCCCATGGCACAATCATAAATGAAATGCCATCCCTTAACAGAAGAACCAAGACTGCAATAGGCATTTGGGATTAAAGAGATGACTGTGGCTGCCACACTTTTCAAATAGCTGATTAAGAGATCTTGAGAGCATTCGTTTGTCTTTCCAGCATAGGGAGTCTCCGAGGATGACTCATCATTGATGTATAATGAGTCAGAACTGAAAAGGTAGCTCTCTGTAAATACAGATCATGACAGGGACTATGTTTGTGAAAATGATTTCTGGTCGCTTTGTTTTCTCACAGCTGATTACCATTTCAAAATTGCTTTTTGTTTGTGATTGTTTACTCAGCTTCTTCGGGTTGGGGAATGGCACAGAGAAGTTGTATTAGCTTATTACTATTGTATATATATAATACAAAAACTCAAATCTATTCTGTTGTAATTCGAAATCAACCAGAAAGTAATTGGAATATTTTTTGTGATTCCCATTTGTTACAAAAATGTATAAATCATCGAAGGAGCTCAGTTTCAGTTCAAGTTCAGTTTACGTGCCTGTGGAATACTCTTCAGTCTGTGAAAGCTGTTGTATGATATCTCCTGGGGCTCTGGAGAAGCTTTGTCAAAGCTGAGAAAAAGACTAGATGATGTCATGGTGGTGTCACCAGGTTTATATCGACTTGTATTGGGAGACTACACATTTATAACAGAAAGTCTGCTTATAAACTGGCAGTGTGGAGTTTGTAACATGATGGTGCTTACCAGGCAGGGAGAGTGTGTAACAAAAGATTCTATCTGGTTGCATTATGGGAAATATAGGATCCTGGATTTTGGGGTATTCACTCAATTTTAGAAACTAAAAGTCAGGATATCTCAGCTGCTGCGTCAATTTTGACCCTTTTGTTTCAAAATGTTTCTCTCAGCTTTAAGAAGATGCAATATTAAATCACTGGAGTATAGAGTTTGGTAACTGGCCAAATATATACCTGCTATCGGTGATTGGCCTTTGCTGGTTGGCTATTTTTGTCTTTTTATAATGCTAATTTAATGGCAGAAGAACGAGTGAGAGAGACTTGCATGAATATATTTTGGCTATCACCAGTTGTTGGGCTGACATATCGCCCAACCCTACTGTAGTATTCCCTTTAAACCATGCTGCAATCCTTGCTTTATAAAATTAAATTAAAAATAGGACAAGAGGAATGTGTAGGGCTCTTTATCTTATAAATGGAGAAAGAATTTTGGTGGCTCTTTAACTTCTCTCATTTTTCAAATCTGCTTTGTCATTCTTCCATTGCTCAGGTGAAGAAGAAGCTTGTCCCACCTTGTCTCCTGAGGAGCTGTTTATTCTCCTTCAGCCTCCTTCACCTCTAAGGCAGCAGTCATGAACTGGTCTGCATTGCAGTCACTCCTCAGCGGGGTCAACAAGTACTCCACCGTGTTCGGCCGCATCTGGCTCTCTATGGTGTTCATCTTCCGGGTAATGGTGTTTGTGGTGGCCGCCCAGCGAGTGTGGGGTGATGATAGCAAGGACTTTGTGTGCAACACAGTCCAGCCGGGCTGCGAAAACGTGTGCTATGACCACATCTTCCCCATCTCCCACATCCGTCTATGGGCCCTGCAGCTCATCTTCGTCACTTGTCCGTCACTGATGGTGGTGGGGCACGTCAAGTATCGGGAGAAGAAGGACATGCAGTACACTGCCTTGCACAAGGGTTCCCATATGTATGCCAACCCTGGGAAGAAACGTGGAGGGCTGTGGTGGACCTACTTGGTAAGCATGAAGGGAAGACATTTCTAGCCTCGCTGTACATGCCAAAACATAAAAAGACAGACACAGCTGTGCTTTGGCCTTGAACAAACTGAAGTTAGTTGCATGGATGAGTGGCTATGTACAAAAGGCTGGAGAAGATGTTTGTGTACTTATATGTGATTGTTTTGTCCTGATCACAAGAAAAAAGGTTTTGACAGCTTCTTTTGCACCAATCAGAAACAAGTTTCACCATCCCTCCAAACTGAGCTTAAGCTGTATGAGTTATGAGCTCGGAATGCTTTTTATTATAGATCCCACTTTAGGTCAATTGTCTGACTTCCTCCAGCCATTATCAAACGAAGAGCAGCAGTGACTGAAAGATTGGCTGCATATTTTTTGATTGACAGGCATTTATTTTACACTTACTAAAAAATGTGTCTCCCAGTTTAACCCTCATTTATCTTCTCACAGGTGAGTCTGATTTTCAAGGCAAGCTTTGACGCCGGCTTCCTCTACATCCTGTACTACATCTACGACGGTTACGACATGCGCCGCCTGTCCAAGTGCTCCCTGGAGCCGTGCCCCAACACGGTGGACTGCTACATATCGCGTCCCACTGAGAAGAAGATCTTCACCATCTTCATGGTGGTCTCCTCTGCTGTCTGCATCTTCATGTGTATCTGTGAGATGATTTACCTCATCTGCAAACGCATTCAGAAATTGATTAGGAAAAAGACAGATGCGGATAGGAGGATGTTCGCAGAGAAACACGAGATGACACCGCTGGCAGCACCCAGGTCAGAGTTCAGATCCAAAACATCAGTCAGAGTGGATCCCACAGCCTCTATCCACAACCTCAGTAATGCCAAGGCTGAGGAGGGGCTATCTAAGAAAAAATAACATACAATATGGCAGCGGTCATGCAGAAAGCAGAGTACTCAAGGGACCACTTGAGCAAATGCATTCATCAGACTCTGTGGAGAACTGCTGCACGACACAAAAGATCATCATCCATTAATTTAGAGATTTCTGAGACAGTGTTTGGTAAATATTATCATGTTAAATGACTTTTTACAGGAATGCACACCATATGCATGCAAATTAACCCCTCAAAAAGGATGAGTTAAATAGGAAGTTAAAGGGTTTAGAGTATATTTTGGTACTGGTTCGTGTAGTGAGTATGGATGTGTGCATGTTTGTGGTTTTGTGTATGCATTATTGGCCAGTCATATGTATATAAGCTGTTATGTCAGGTACTTTGTAAATGAAACTATAAATATAAAATGCTGAAATTCACCAAGTAATGTAAATGTGGTATAGAGAGTGAACCATTTCCCTGAATATACACACTGCCCCCTTATAAATAAAACAAGACTTCCTTTAGGGGAAACACAGTAATCGTCAGAAAGTACTTGAGGGTTTTTTGTTTCCAGATATTCAATATGAAGAAAATGCTCTTTATTGTTTAAAAGTGACTTTGACTCCGGTTAACATTTTGTGTCACACAATTAAATCAGAATTGCTATAGGTATAATACATGTATTAATAAATGCAATGAAAAATTATACAAATCTACTTGTATGCCCACAAATATGGTTATTCTAATGAAGTAAGATTCTAGATAATATATTTTGTTTTACATTTTGTATTTATTGTTGTGATCCATAAAGTTATTTCTATGTTAATCTGCGTGTGCGTCCTTTGTTCTTTTTGACAAGCTTTTCACAATTATCATACATGAAACAATTGCTAGCAATCAGTTAAGGATCTGACTGTGAACATACAGTATGGGAAAGGAAATGAGACATTTTGTCTTGTTTTTTAAATTTAAGATAAAATAATATAGGCTACATTGAAATAAAACAATAGTTAAGCATTGGGACCCATATCCCACCAGTTCATTGTGAATAAGTTTTTATAGTAATAGTATAGTTGTTTTTTTTCATTGCTCTCAGTGTTACACAGTTCCAACAACAATTTACAGGAACAAAGAAAAAGACATACAGATAAAAAGTTGAGGAAAGAAAGGAACAAAAGATTTAATAGATCAGAATCAGAATCAGAAATACTTTAATAATCCCAGGGGGAAATTACTTTCGTTACATTACTCCATTAATTTGTATAGACACATCAGTATAGTTAGGAATAAGAATTACTAAGACAACATTATGGTACATTGACGGGTTGGGGCGTTTGGACGTACAGGTATGTTCTACGTCACCTCATGTATGTGTACAATCAATTAAACGGGATAAAAATACATCCCTGTAATATTATCGATTCAAAACTCAGACTAGTTTCTACATGTTTGCACAGAGTGACTAACTCACTAAGTATCGCGTTGCATTCATGAGAGTGACGGACACGGTGATTCATACTTCTGGCGTCATCACTTTTCCACTCTGCCGTCCAATCAGAAGCGGGGGACGCGGGTGCGGTTTTGAAGGACCCGGAAATGCGCCAATAGCTTCGCTGAGCCGGACGCTGCCTCTCCGCCTTCACTGCTGCTTGTTGAAGGAAGTAAAGTGTGTCCAACATGAGTTTCCACTACGGCCAGGTATCAAAATACTACATTTTCTCTTTTGTCTATTTTAGTTACAATAACATGTTAATATTGTCAAATGACTGTACTGCCTGTTGTTTCGCCTTCATATAAGGTAACTAACTCACTAACGTTAGTGTGTGTCACAGAGACACAAGTATCGTTAGCCATTCGTGTGTTTGCTAAGGATGGAGTAACGTTAAACACTGTGAACTGTTGCTGTTTGACAGCAAACACTCAGTAGCTTATGTAAATGTGTGTTTTGCTAACGTTGTATTCATTTAAACTGCGCTGACATTGCTTGAGTTAGAATTATAGCATAGTTTGGAGCAATGTGTGACTACTGCAGTGTTCCCGTTTGTTTCATTGACCAGACACTCTCGTTTGATTCTTGTTTGTTCATTTGTGTGTTTGTGCTCCATGGTTGTTTTTATGTGCTCAGAATGTTGCCATAACGTTTACTTAATGGATGGAAGAAGAAGTAGTTTACTCAGAAGTGAAAGTAGCAATACAAGTCAGAGATTGAAGGCTTTGTACAGGTGAAATACAGAATATCAGCTAAATGTTGAAGTTAGAAAGTAGAAGTACAGAGAATGGCCCCCGCCAGAGAACTGTTGGATTACTGTTATTGCTGCATTCATCTGAAAGCAGCATTGAAACGTTGAATGGAGCTCATTTTGCTTACTTGTATTATCCTGTAGCTTCTTATTTAACAATATATCATATTTTACAAACTAACTACATGTTTTGAATAAAGACAGTCTTAATCCGCAGGCTGCTGCCAGATAACGGTAGTGGTGTAAAAAATAATACGTAACTAATACAGAGTAGAAAATGGATATAGTCAAGTGAAGTACAAACACTTCACAACTGAACCACAGTACTTCAGTAAATCTACCACTAAGTGAGCACCTCTACATATTACCTTAAGTAGCCTATATATCTGTGTTACTACTGTGTTACTTTACTACTGTTTTACTATTTTGTTCATCTCACAAGAGACGCCACACACAGCCCATTTATTCCTTGTATTCATTGCACATTCTCAGTGAACTTGTCTATCGCTGTAGGGCTATCCAGGAGGAGGCAACCCACCACCAGGTGCTCAATACGGGGGAGCCGGTGGTCCCTATGGGCATCACCCCTCAGCTCCATATGGAGGTCAAGCACGTCCACAAGGAGGACCCTACGGCGCTTATGGAGCCCCAGCTCAGGGAGGGCAGTACGGGCAAGGACAAGGGGTTGCCCCCGGCGGCCCTTATGGGGGTTATGGGGGACAACCTCATGGCGGACATTACGGACACCATGCTCCTGCAGGTAACTATAGGCTGAGACTGCAGCTGTGTGAGCTTATGCGGTACCTTTGGCTCGCAGGGGTTGAACACGCATATTCTGAACACCAGGAGACTGCAGATGGGCTTCCATTCCCCCTTTTTCATCGCTTCTCTTTCTCTGTCTCTCTCTCTCACTCTCTGGTGGGATGATGGATAGAAAATGACTTACGTTCCCAGACAGTCATGTAGAGACAGGGTTCAGTTTGTGCCCCTCAGCAGGATTACACGGCTGCAGTGATGACTGCGGTAATACTGAGTGAGGGCTAAACAGAGTAAGAGACAGATGGGTATAGAGAGTGTGTGTGTGTGTGTGTGTGTGTGTGTGTGTGTGTGTGTGATTACGCTGTTTCCTGTAGTAGCTAAGCCTAAGTCAGAACCTGATAGCCTATGTTGCCATCACTCCCCACTGGGACAGAATCCATCAGGGTTCGGGCTGAAGTGTCACCTGTCCCTCTCTCCCTATTCATTTTTTCTGACAATCAGCCCTCCCCTCCACTCGTCGACGCCATATTTCCCAACACTCTGTTTCTCTTCCTCGGTGTGTTCAGGTAATGGCCTCTGACACAGTCTCCCTCTCGCTGAGGTGACTTTTCCTCAACCCTTGACCCCGCCTCTACCTTTTTTTCCCACCACCCTGCGCACCTTATGAAACACTGAGCATGTATAACTGAGGTTGGAGTGGTATCTTTAGCAGAATACCAACTGGTTTCCCAACTGTAGGGAGATTCACCTCTGGATTGAGTGGGTTTCCCCATAATGGAAGATATATGAAGATATATATATATATAATATACATTATTTTAATGAAATAAATTGAGTTGTGGGACTATTAAAGGTTCTTTACAGTGTCACAAACCAGTATTTCTCACACAACTGTAATTATTTCTTCTCTTTTTCCTCCAGCAATAACATGCCAATAGTGTATCTACTAGCTGTTAAACTCAATGGCATATAAAATGTACTTAGCCGTAGGAATTATATTTGGCATATCAATTACTATAAAATGTATTCCATGTTATAGTCTGTATAGTCGTATACCGCACTGTTTTCCAAATCAGTGCCTTCTAAACACAGAAGCCCCAAAGATTGAATCGAGCACAGATGTATTATTTTTTATGATCAAGTTTCTGCTTGACAGAGTCAGCGCAGTTTCCACTGTCAGACAGTGGAAAGCGTGTTTCTTCATGTCTCGATAAATAAATTATTATTTTGCGTCGGAAACGAGGCTGCCGCTTCATTTAGAAGAATCTTCGCAGCCTTTTTCTTCGCTTTCCTCCACACACACACACATACTCCTCAAAGTCTGAGAGCTTCAGTGAAATAATAACTGGTAGAAATTCTAAGAATGGGAAATGATAAAGAGAATAAATCAACTAGTGGGCTCAGACAGATTGAAGAAGAAGAAGAAGAAGAAGAGGAAACAGCATGCTAAGAAAACAATCTTGTTGTGATCTTCAAAGTCAGTCGGCACCACCCCTCGTGTCTTCACCAGCTTATTACCGTTGAATTTCTTCTCTGCAGGTAACATCCCTCCTGGCGTTAACCAAGAGGCATACCAGTGGTTCCAGACTGTTGACACAGACCACAGCGGCTTCATCAACGTAAAGGAGCTGAAGCAGGCACTTGTCAACTCCAACTGGTCTTCTTTTAATGACGAGACCTGCCTCATGATGATCAGTAAGGCACACGGTGGAGCTCAACAGAGGTTGCTCTGTGTTGATGAATTGGTTAGAAATGCTTTGACAGTGTTTCTTGAGGCAAAATGACACCATGTTAAACTATGTAAAATACTTCCAGAGACCTTAATGGCTATGGCAGAGGGGAGGGGGAAGTTATTTGGAAAAAACTAATCAATAAAGCCGTGGTGAGACAAAGGGAGTTACCTAATGAATCTGTCAAATTTCGAAATATCTTCTGTTTCTATAAGAAGAAAGCCGGGAGTCTGCCTAAAAAAATACCTGAGTCATCTTTGTCTTGGTGGCTGTTTGTTGTCTCTCTACATTCCTGTATTTGCCAGGCAGTGACATATGAGTTCCATTACCGTAATGAGAAATGTGTGACTTCTATAAGCTACATTTAGATAATGCTAGGAGAACATCCGTGGTGATAGACGGCAGACTTGCTGGAAACATGCACTTCAAGAATAACTGAAGAGAACTGTCTTTTTTTGGTTCGCCTAAACGTGCTGTGTTTTTTCTTTCTGGTTAGACATGTTTGACAAGACGCGGTCAGGTCGAATGGACCTGTTTGGCTTCTCAGCACTGTGGGAGTTCATGCAGCGGTGGAGAGCGCTCTTTCAGCACTATGACAGAGACCGCTCAGGCTGTATCAGCGGCACAGAGCTACAGCAAGGTATCCCCGTTTGTGTGTGTCTTAAAAATGCTACACTTTAATTGGGCTATGGGATCATTTTGTAAACACAAATGGTCGGATAGAGAAACAAAAATTAATTCCCATCTTGTTTTCTTTCTATTCCCCTATCCGTCTCCTCCCATCAGCCCTTGCTCAGATGGGCTACAACCTCAGTCCCCAGTTTTCAGAGACGTTGGTGCGACGCTTCTCTGTGCCGGGCAGCCGACCCGGCATTCAGCTGGACCGCTTCATCCAAGTGTGCACCCAGCTCCAGACCATGACACAGGTGTTCAGGGAGAGAGACACGGCCATGACGGGCAACATCCGCATCAACTATGAGGATTTCCTGTCTGGGGCCATCACCAGACTCATGTGAGCCTCATTCCACGGACAGTCCCTCTGCACTGTGGATTCACAGCATCATTCCATGTTCAGGTCATATTTTCAGTGTTTAATGCTCTGCCATAAGTGCCCCAGCCTGCTGGTATGTATACAGTATATCAGCCAGTACGCATTGTTTCATGGCTTGTTGCTGTAAGTAGATAAAGCCTTACACCCTGCACCTGATGGAAGTTCAGTGGCTCTTTATAAAGGTAGCTAAAGCCTTTACTGGATAGCTTAACTTTCACCAGGGCATCAGCAAGAAAGTGATTGTGGCTTTATAACATCAGTCACTGTATACTGAAGGTCCTTAAAACAGTAATCATCTTACCATAGATGCCTTGATGGCTGTTACCAGGTCTCTTGTTTACCAGTACCAGTACAGTGATTAAAATGATGAATAGTTAAACTGAATGAAATGATACAAGTGAGCACTTGTTTACACATGTATAATACACAGCGTTGACCTGGCAACCCTAGAGGAAGTAATAGATTGTAAACGAAAGAATAACAAAATCCACCACAGATGATTTCTCTGCTCCTACAGTAAAATACCTGCATTTCACTGCACGACAGTGATTCTGCTGAACATCTCCTGTGACTTTGCTCAGATGCAGCATTAACATGTTCCCGTGCCATCAAAACGATTTAAAATTCTCTTTTAAGTTATGTATATCGGGAATATTAAGCATTTCCAGAGGGCATTTCCATGCAATGGTTGCACATTGTATTGAACATTGCTTTGCATTGCAATGAGTGTAATTAGGCAAAAAATAAAAAGGGGGCCACCTTTTATAATATCAGAAGTCTCTCTCACACACTTAGTGGGAGGTTGTTGTTAAAGCTCCGTAACTGATGGATTTGTATTGTTTAGTTAAACGTGAATTTATTATCATTTTTGCCAAATTGCACTGTAAGTCAGTATCAACCATAAATAAAACACTCCAGTGAGTTATATGTTCTGAAACCAGTAAACATGCCAAAATGATTTGTAATGCCAAAAACAAATAAATGCTTTTCTATCACATTTTGATGTTTTCATATTCTTTATTCTGATTTTTAAGAGTTTTCTATTTCATATTATAAGAAGCTGCATACTGATTGCAGTGTTTGATCTGGATCTAGTAGGTAAATATAGTGTAAATGCAGCAGTACCATGGTAATACCAACACCACTTTACTGTCAGTGTGACAAGTGTTGCACATTTCTGTGAGGTCGGAAGGTTTTTTTTCTGGTCTTAAAGCACAACAACAATAATAACTGAGGAAAATAACTTCAGCTGCGGCTGTTATTGTATTTTTTTCTACAGCGCTTGTGGCTAGTTGAAAGCCGAACTCTAGTCATGACCTTTGAGCTCAAAATGCCCCAAATCAGTTACTCATTTCTCCCTTTGTAGGGAAGATTAACCACACAGAAGAGCAAAAAGCCTGTTTTCCCCTTCCACATCTGGCTCTTCTCTCCCTCACCATCTGTTCCTCTGCTTGATCACAGACTGTGTCAAGAGTCCTCCTGCTTCTCCTCGTTTCTCCCCAAATCAGAGGCAATCCATCAAATTCTCCTGTGCATCTTTTTTGGTCGTATCCCGCTCCTGTCTCCTCCTAACCCCTCTCCCTCCATCTTAATCTGAGGCTAAATTTAGCTCTCCCAGGTCCTTAAGCGCACTTTGAGTCACATTCTCCCTGACATCCCCCCCTGTTCGGTTGACATGTCACCTGAACATGAATGTGATTTAGTGTCTGCACCGCTTTCCAAACATCGAGTTTGGAGACTTACAAGTGCACTAAGCTTGAATTTTTTCAGCCTGTAGAGAGCATTGCAGCAGCCCTTTTCTGGCTCGTGTGATTCAGCAGTGATTTAGCCTAAGTCCTGATTGTCATTTCCTGTGTAATGAGGAAATTTCCCGCCACTGACCATGCCTGACATCTGTAATTAACTTGGGCAAATAGAGCAGGTTTATGGGGCTTCAGTTAGTGAGGATGTGACGCTCCACTCTGTCAGCCCCAGTTTGCGATCTGGATTGATTAGACGTTGTATTTTTACGTTAAAATCTTGGCTAGTGCTGCTCTAAATCTCATTTACTAATAAACAGGGGCTGATGAAATAATCCTGGCACTGCTAAGGGGGTGCTGGTGAAGCAGAACTGGCACTAGTAATGTTGTTTTCCCGCAAGGGATGAGCACATTTCTCACACATATCTGACAGGACTGATCAAATGCCAGTTCTGGCAACTGCAAGATGGACAGCATAGAGGGAGGAACTGCCTAATAGAATCATTTTGAAGCATGAAGCATAATCACCCACACAGAATCCTGTTAATCATAATAATTCCAGTAGTCATTTGAAGTAATGATAGCACAAAAATTGGGATATAGCTCTTTTTTCTTAACTTTCTGCTTCTGCACAAATGATCGATGAGTCAGAAGTGGTCATCGCTCCATGACAGGCTGCATTCCAGTCACTATTGATCAGCCTTGTGCCCCGCACTCTGCATTACTGTACTTTTATGGAAAACGTTTGAGTCTAGTCTAGAAATATCCGTGTCATCAATCATGCAGAGATTTGCAAAGAACCCAGAAGTAGCATAGAGAAATATTTTCTTCCCCCTGTATTCAACTTTGCAATTTATGGTTTCCCAGTGGATGACTGAAATTTACACAGTTTCTCTGCATCCCTCACAAGCAGTTAAAGTAAACAAAAGCAACGCTTCTAAAACTGTTTGTGTCTTTATTGAGTGTACCAAGCCTCTGAAAGTGTCTGTGTCTTTGTTTGCCAAAATATGCTTTTAAAAAAGAAAACTATCTCTGCACTTGTCAGCCAGGAGGGGTAGCTCACGCCTTGTCAGCGTATCACAATGCTGGTGACAGATCTGTCAGCCTTTCATGAGTATTCCTTGAGAGAAGGACTTTGTGCAAGAATGCCATCAATGTTTGAACACAGAAAGATGCTACGGAGGGGACAAACATTCATGTATGCTCCTTCTGACTCCATAGTCACAAAATGACTTTGAGCTTATTTTATTGACATTTCAATAAAATGTGACGTATTCTTGTCGGGTTGGGAAATTTTTGTCTCTGTTGTCAAATGATACAGAAACAAGTAAATTACTTTATAAATGTTGCAATGCTGTTTAATTAGCATAATATGTAACCCGGTTTGTGGAGTCTAGTTTCATCTCCTGCTGCTGTTACTCTATAGTTTATTGATTATCTTAAATTGAATGTATGTTTTTTTTCATTTAGTACCTACAAAGATACTATTGTAAAATATTACACCGTTTTTTTGGTACCAACCACCATCAGTACCAGTAGTAGTAGGGGACTGTTCTTTCCCTTTGTTAAATAAACAGAATAAACAACAACATGCCTGTTTTGGTATTCCTCATCTCAATGTAGTGTACCATGTCCGCCACTGGGCGGCGGTAGAACACCGAGATAACGCAGCTAAAACCTTCTTGGTCACAGCAGAGCAAGGCTCATCAGCCAATGGAGTCTAACCAGGAAGTGGAGAGACAGTCGCACGGACATTGCGTCGATCCACTGCTGTAGCAACGTGCCCGCCGTAAAGGTGATTGAAACAAACCAATGTCATCTTCAAATGATTAGACAGAGAAACGCCACAGGGAGTTTGTGTTGTAGCAAACGGTGAAGGTTTGGCTTTAGAGTGACACTGCACGGATTGTAGTGTTACCGTTAAGTGAGCTTTACCATAAGGTAACCGGTTACAAGCAGTCTCGTACAATGACTGGCAGTTAGCTAGCTGGAGCTATAATAACGTTACATAAGTCAATACTTAGAAATAGTCCTTAAGATAGATTATAGTTAACTATTTATATAGTACTTTAAGGTGCTCTGTGGCGTTTATTCGAGCTCTGTTGCTCGCCATCGTTTGGTTAGGTTAGGTTGTTGGCCGACACCATCTCCAAAGTCTGTAATGGATTTGACAATTTTACTTTCCTTGCTAGTGTGCAAAGTAAACTATACGGCTTCGGACATAAATAAATGTACTTTACAAATGTAGGCGAAACACGTTTAAATTCGGCTAGGAAACAACAAACGAACAAAAACAAATCATCGTAAAAGTTGAACTTGTAAATGATATCTATGCCTCGAAACAACGTTACATTAACATCGATAAAGCTAGGCTAACGTTATACTGGCATTGCTGGTAATGTTGGGGTCTTGTTTTAACATTTAGGAAAGTGTCTTTTGGGGACTGTTTTGCTCTGAGCCTTCTTGTTGATGTTGCTATTAGTTGTATAAGTTGTATGTGCTGTTGTGTGGAGCTGAGTAAAGGTGAGGAGGGCATAGGAAGCACAGACTGATACCCTAACATAAGTGCATATACTTTAATGGGTACAGTCCATTTCAGACCCGTTATCACCATCATTTAAATGTAAATTATGTTCATGTTTGGTGAAGATTATTACATCACTTATTTTGAAATTGTGAAGTTATGTGAATAACACCTTCACCAGGTTCTCTCCTCTGCGGTTTGAAGCCTGATGGAACAGAAAATTCTCTTTATAAGTAACATAGTACTTTCATGTTGGTTACTGTCGTCACTTACAGGTTGTATATAATTTCATTTAACCATCAGAATCAGCTTCAAACCACAAGGGGGAACCAGCTGAGTAGAAGTGCTTGTCACATTTTAGATCAGAACTAGTGAGGGTACAGCACTATTTCTCCTATAATACTCCTACTGTAATGTAATTGGCATTTAATGTAAGCTAAAATGCACTTACCGCCTTATTTTTTCCCCCCATGGAGCACCGGGTAGCCCGAGCAGTGTGCAGTCATGTGGCCTGTGCTTTGGACGGCGTTACGGACCTATGCCCCTTATGTCACCTTCCCAGTGGCCTTTGTGGTGGGAGCAGTGGGTTACCACCTGGAGTGGTTTGTCCGGGGCACCCCTAAACCTCGAGAGGAGAAGGGCATCCTGGAACTACGGGAGGAGAGGAAACTGCAGGAACAAGTGGGTATGGACAGCACACAGGTGCTTAGCCTGAAAGAGAAACTGGAGTTCACACCCAAAGCGGCTCTGAACAGGAACCGACCCGAAAAGAGCTAACCCGCGTTGGTGTGAGGGACTCGCATTCGCCCTCTCTCAGCAGGAGGGCACTGCACAGGGAGCAGAAGGGGGTGAACCAGAGGGCAAAAACACCCATTCAGCCATACATTCTCACTCCTGAGCACCCAAAAGCATCCGCTTGCCAGTGTAAACATGG